TACCCGCCAAGAGTTGACGGTCCAACGCACTAGCACCATCCAGCATTTCTTTTAACGTATATGTAGTCAGAGAATCACAATAGGATTACTTAATAGTTAAATTAGGTGTTGGTGGCCAAAGTGCTATCAATCTTTTACATTAAAGCTATCCATGTTTGTTCCCCTTCGCTAAATTCCTGCAAGCCTTGGCATATTTACATGCGTATTCATACTTCTTTAAGTATTCTACGTATTCTTCAATTGGTTTACACCTAGTACAGAGAGAGATGATACATCTGAACACTAGCTGTGGAAAGGATATTAAACCTTTACTCACCCCTTCCAAGGCGTAATAGACGTGATGGCTTTAATGATAAAACTACTATAAAAAGGACCTTGACCTGGGACCCGGCACTTTACTCACAGCCAACATTACTTAATTAGCTTCGTCAGTTTTTTAGTTTGTGCAAAAAAGTATAATCTTCTGCCTGTGCAAAAAATTCTGATCGAGTTCGGATGGCGTTTTCGAATGTTAATTCCGTAATTTTTTCAACATGTGGATCAATTAATTCTGCATGGTCTACTTCCTCCATGTAATTGTGCATTAAAACTTTTATAAAGAACGTAACGGTGTACAAAAGCGAAAAACATCGCCAAGGATGACTGTATACAGTGCAGGCAAGTGTGCCTTTTTTTAGGTAAACCTGCCCACCCATCATTAAACTGCTTATAATTTGCAATAAAAATCAATCATCCAGGCTTGTTACAGATAATTATTCTGAGAACCGAAAAGGCATTGTAGTTGTTTTAGGTCGCCCCTAGCAGATTATTGTCAGAAAGTGTGCATCATTTTATGTTAGAAAACAAGTACACAATATAGATAATTTTTCTACACCTGGACATGCATAAGGTGTACGTCATGTCAAGAATGATTATTGACTTTACCCCATACGCAACTGGATCATCTTTCCCGGTATTTCGTATCGGTCTTTTTATAAGATTAACTTCCGTAGGGTGTTTTTTAAAAGATTTATGCATTTTTTGATGTGTCGACAGCGCTATCATCGGTTAGGATAAAATACATCGAATTAATTAAGTTCTGCAGGAGCCTTAACCACTTTTCTAATGTCATTGATGCCAACATCAGCACGAGATTTGACACCCGAACCACTGATGGTCAGTGCGCTCGAAGTAAGTTAGATATGAGAGTTCTTCACCCCAGACACAATTTTTGGAGTGATCATTTTAGAAACCAGTTCAATCCTTTTAAACGTCTAGAGTCCAGAAACAATTACCTGGAAGAGGTGACGTGCGTCCTTTAATTAAAATAAAGCATACCATATAATTAACAAACGTTTCATCAGAACCCACAACTACACCTATATGTATCATCGTACCAGATGCCACGAGTCGACCTCTTACGATGGTCACTACATTGTTCGATATGGGTTATATCGTTTACTATAGCACCTGGTCACATCTCCCGAATACTGGAACGTAATCGCAAGTTGTGTAGGGATAGCACTGTCTTGTTTACATACGTTATCCGTAGATCACAAGTTATTCAACAGTATTGATATTGTGGCCTTCAGCACGTTAATGTAACCCTTATCCGATAGTCGGTATGTCCTGTCCTGCACACGATAGCGTGCTGCTGTATCGTTACAACTTAACATATTCTTTTCCCCATATTATTCCTAATTCCACCTCTTGAGTTCAAGGAATAACGCAACCTCGGCATCTCTGCCCGTACTTGCCAATATATACCTCGAGGATTACGATTTAAGGCGTTCTATTCAATCGCGACTTGTGACAATTGAGTTGTGAAGTAATTGCATGACATCATGCCTTCATCCATCATACCGTCGCAACTCTACTGATAGCCATGTCAATTTTCATAAGTTTCACAACCAGTAATGAATTTAGCTCCGCTCTTCTCCCCACCCTTAGTTATGTCTTTGCTTCTGTATCAAAATCGGGAAAAGATTAGATGATGCTATATGAGAGGTATTTTTCTCAAAAGGCTTTTCTCCTCAATCCCATTTCGTTCTCGTGTACAATCAAGCGTGTACTTTTCTCTTGTCTTCTTGGCTCTCGACAGCTCAACTTCCTACCGTAAAGTGCTGAATAACTTATAGTTAAATAAACTGTCGCGAAGCACCCATGCTAGAATGCGTCCATCAATCATTGTCGCTTCAGAACTTAATAAAAATTATGATTCAAGCGGTTCTTCGTCCAAAGCAATCTCCAGCATCGCCTCTGCAGACGCACGATATCTCAATCCATACAGCAGCAATTTTTCTCCCAAAAATTTCGGCCGTAACCGCATAGTACCATTTAACGATGGTACTACGCGGTTAGGCGATATTCAATGTAGCATTTTTGACGATTTAATTGGGTGTCTGGTGAGTACAAAATCACTCGTAAGTTATCCAATGTTTCGGTCATAACTATTGTGCTTGCAAAGTATGTAGCGCCATATCTGTGTGGCTAGTCATGCAAAGGCGGATTGCACATAAGAGTAACACATACAAGCATACAAGTAGATTCTTGTCTACGTTTTCCCATTATGGCGGGCCTCTTTTTTAATGTTTGACTGTTTTCCACAATTCATTCAGACGTTTTCTAATTTATGTATTAGCTCATGACGAAATTGAGTACGTCAACAGTTTCTATGGTTCCAAATGGTGTTTTTGCTCGAGCTGATATCATGTACAAAAGGCGGTATGATATGTCTACGCATTAAGCTAACAGTCGTGGCCTCCCGCCTCGGAGATGATGTCAAAGATGGCTTTCAGATAAAGGAAAGTTGCATAGGTCAGGCATCATTGATCTGGAGAGCAATCTACCGGAGTCATGGTGAGCTCAAACGTGTAATGTGCTGGAATTTATCTTGCAGCACTATTTCGCGTGCATAATGAGAATCGCTAACCTCTATTATCGTCTTTTTCTGTCTTCTTTTTTGGAAAAGGGAAACATAATTGGCATTAGAGAATCTCCTAAGGCAAAAAGAATGTAACGCAGCCAAATTCTACTGTAAATCCATACAAGCATATCAGCTTGGGTCGAATAGTTCTACAGAACTAAAAAGCGACTGGCAACTCCACCCAATTAAACGAAAGTATGTAGTATAAATTCATTAATTTACAACTGAGACGATCCTACATTGATAATTTAAAGTGTTTTGCGGCAAAAAGACCGCAAGCAAATGAAAACCTCCGCTTACAACGGGTCCTGAATTCTATTTATGATGTATGCTCAACATTAAACCTTGTCTGATGTATTCTACCCAAAGATTTTTATCGCTAAGTGACACATCATCCCAGCCATTGTATATGTCGTATTTTGAGAAAATTCATCAGTGACAAAACCCAATGCTGGTAGGTACAGTGTCATCGATATACTATGACACGGGCACACTTAACATTTCCTTCAAAACACTTTTTACGATTGTGCCCCAATCCATATTGTCACATATTAAACTGTCGTGTGAACCTGTCACTTTAGCTCTATAATTCTCCTGACACATTTTTAGCTATGGTATATCACTTGCCTTATGATGTTGTCGAAAACTTGATACGATAGGGAAGAAATTGATTTTGTGGTAGACTTACTTAGTACGCAATCCAGACCTATGAACGATAAAATTATAAATACCCCACAAATTAAAGCTTCTTGCTTCATCGTACGTCACTCAAATTCTTCTTGACGTAATCGTTGAAGTTCTAATGGAAAAAAATGGACATTATTTGGCCGTCAAAGTGTAGTCTTAAAAACAACAATCGTTGTTTAAAACCCTTACGTCAGAATCAGTTACAAGGAGGGCTTCTGCCATCATAAAGATTGGTTGGACAGAAATACGTTGATGAGACACATTTTTTCTTTTCTAAATTTCGTCATTCATTAAGCAAATATATCATGGAAGCGAGCTCTGTAGCTCGCCTTTTAATGTGTGCTTTTAGTTCAAAGAATTAAATAAAGTTGCAGACTAGTACTAAACAGCAGTCACTGAAGAATACTATCCTCTTAACGTCGGTAATTTCTCACGTAAGCATGCTAGGGAAATGCGATCAGCCTAAACGTATGAGTGTAACAGAGTAGCCCGTTACATGAAATTGACACCAAACGGTGTCGATTGATATATTGTCTAGTATGACAATATTTTACCGATATTATCCGAGATGGATAATATTCATTCAAGGCTCCAAGATTGGTTGATAGGAGACACTTCAACCATAGATTGTCACCAATCGCTGCTAGACGCGCGTTATGAGTGGTGAGCAGGTTGTCGTCATATGATAGTGTGGGACAGTACAGTTAGATAAAGATCAGAGTTATATGTATAGCTTAATTATACTAAAACAGTTCTCTTTTTAATTTTTACTTAAACGAGTCGTTCGAGTAGACAGCTTCCTCTGCACAAACTAGTGTACGTGAAGTTTCGCGGCACCCCAAACAAAGGGTGCCCCGTTACACCTGGAAGCACTTTGTATTCCGTTTAACGACTGCTTAGTGTCCGTCCAACATGAACATGTTGGACGTATAAGACAACAGCTTTCACGTCACACGAAAAGGCTACTGTTTCATGTTGGACGTACAAGACGACAGCTACCTTGTCACACGTAAAGGCTACATGTTGGAAGTATAAGACGACAGCTTTCACGTCACACGTGAAGGCTACCCCCATCTGAGTGACTCAGAATGGAGGGAAGTCGGCCGCATGAGTGCGCTCGTGGGCGAACCCGCCATAAGTGGAATGTTGGAGTCTCTAAGCAGATACCAGCAACATGCTGGTATCAACAAGGGCCTACAAGGGGAACTTGCCGTCGAACGACAGAAGATAGCCTTGCTACAGCAGCAAGGCTCTCATCAGTCGATGGGCGGGCCAACGCACATGCATCAACCCGAAACCTTGAAGATTGATATCTCAAGGTACAAGGGAGCCGTTGAAGATTCCCTTTTGAGATGGTTCGTCGAGTTAGGGTGACGCCATAAGGGCCCGTCACATCGAGGGTGACGAGATGCAAGTCACCTTCGCTCTGTCAAATTTGACAGGACGAGCAAAGACTTGGGCATTACGGCTCAAGCTTCACGACCCAAACGTGTTCGAGTCGATGAAAATTTTAAAGACTCGGCTCAAAGAGACGTTTGAGCCACCGAGAGCCGAGTCCAGAGCACGATCTGCACTCCTGAGGCTAAAGCAAGGTAAGCGTGACGTGCACGCTTACGCACAGCACCTGCGCTACCTTGCAAGTAGCGTTGTGGACTACCGTGATGATGAGCACGCGCTCATCAACGTGTTCATCTACGGCCTTGTGGATGAGCCGGTGAAGACCTACATGTTCCAAGAGGATTTCCATGCGCTGGAAAGGGCAATAGCGTAAGCGGAACAAGAAGACTTCAGCCTGAGACAGTCTCAGGCTAACTCGTCCAACTATCGTCCGACGAGACGACAGGAAACAGGAGGTCCCGAACCAATGGACCTCTGTTACATCGAGAGCGAGAACTTTCGCTCTCTAAGTCACAAGCGAACGGCAAAATGCCATTGCTGTCAGAAGATTGGACACTACGCTCATGAGTGTAGTGTCCCGAGCACTGCGACACATCCGAAAACAGGACGTAATGACCGCCGTTGGCCAAGGAAGGGTCCGAGGCGTGGGTCCGACCTTGTCGCTTAATCGCGACAGCAAGTCGGACCGTCAGAAAACGGTAAGGGTCAGTGGGGGCGGAGCTCCCTGCTGACCCAGCAACGTCAAGAGAATTTGCAGGAATCTTGACGAAGATTGCTTCTTAAAAACATTCGCTGTGTGTTACTACTGCCCCTAGTGATGGGGAGTTCCTCATCACTTTGAAAATCGAAGTGACAAGCGAAATGTCACTTCGCGCCCTAGTTGACTGTGGCGCGTCGAACAGTTTCCTTCGACGCCAGTCTCTAGGGGATAATAGGCTCAACTATGTTGAGCGAGAGTTCCCTCCAACAAGGATGACGTTGTGCCTTGCTACATGCGCATCAGTAACAGTGAACAAACGTGTAGTGGGAATTCACTACATGCTAGAAGGAAAGCATTGCGATGATGACTTCATCATACTGGATTTGGATGACAAATTTGATGTCATCCTCGGTCTGCCACGGCTTAGAAAGTACCAGCCAGGGATCAGCTGGCAACATCGATCCGTGAAGATGGCTGCCGTTTTTTCATCGGATGGCTATTTGATGAACGTCTTGGGGCGTCCACAAGCACGTGGTTGTACTACGAGCGAGTGCTATGACCTTACTTGTGGTACGGTCGTTAGTACGACTGCACAAGATCACAGTGTAGAAGTCCACTACACTGTGGAACTAGCTTCCGGCACCTGTGTAGAGACACAGGCTGCGCCGGATGTTCACTACTCGAAGAGATCAAGTGGACTGGAACACGGATGCACACCAAGAAGGGTGCATTCGAGAAGGGAGATTAGTGCTGTTCCGGACGAACAACACGTTGAAGCAAGATCGGCTATCACAGAGTCGATCGTAGAGCAAGCCCGATCGACTGGAAAAGAGTCGTTTGAAGAGGACGTGACCGTAATAGTACAACCACAGTCAGTACACGTATTGGAAGAAAGTTCCAGCGTTCCTGAGAGCGATAACTCCCGAGAGAGTTATGTTGAGGGTGTGGATCCCCAACCACCTGCAGATGTGTTTTTCTAGGAAAGCATCAAGACAGTCAATGTCTTGGTGAATGACGGATCAAGTGCAGACGCTTATACACTTGATCCGGTTACACCTCCAAAGTCAGCTTCGGAGGCAGTCAAGTTGTCAACGCTTCAATCTAAAAGATTCTTGCGAGATCTGCGTAGTGACAAGATCAAGCAGATCTGCGTACTCGTCACAGAGGACGAGTACGTCGCCGATATTCAGTCGGAACAAAGGTTTGCTTAAAATTAACGGGCTATCGGTAGCTCATCGATGGACGAGAGTGTCCTCGATGAGAAGACCCGGATTGAGCGATACACGTCTCAATCTTGGGAGTCTTTAAAGACAAATCCTTTGTACAAGAATTTGGTGGTGAATTCAGGTATGTTTTCCCGGAATCCGTGCCATGCGAGCTGACCAAATAAAAAGGTACTCGGCATGAGATCGAATTGAAACCTGGTTCGAAATATTGTGTCATGAAGCAGTGGCCACTGCCTCGTGAACAGTAACTTGCGTTCGACAAATTCTTCGCCGATCGCTTAGCTGCGGTTCATAAGAGGGAGTCAGCATCCCCGCACAGCTCTTCAACCTTCTGGGTGCAAAAGTTTACAGGAAGGTGGCGGGTAGTGCACGTGTTCAACAAATTGAACGCTGCAACGGTATTCGCTCAAACGCCGATACCAAGAAGGACGTCATTATAGATGGTATGGCAAAATTACCATCTTTTCGTCCATGGATACGATAGATGGATTCTATCACACCCTCATGTGTGAACGGGACATCCCGTACACAGCAGTAAGCAACCCCAGTGGTATGCTCTGAGAGTGGCTAGTGATGCCACATGGGCTAAGTAACACCCCTGCAACGTTCAACAGATGTGTTACGAATCTGTTGCGATCGGTGCGCGAATTTGCACCGAGTTACTTAGACGATGTCTTCGTTCACAGCCAAGCGATGGATGGAAAGACGGACGTGGAGGTTCATAGAATCCACTTCCGGAAGGTTCTTACTATAATGCGAGAGCATAAGTTGTTCGCGAACCTCAAGAAGTGTATATTCGCAGCGAACGAACTACCACTTCTTGGCTGCGTCGTGGGTAAAAACGGCGTACGCCCTTATCCGGAAAAGATCAAGGCGAAAAGCGACTGGACTGTGCCAGTCGACGTCAGGGGAATTCGAAAAACCTTGTCTTGGCGGCGTATTTGCACAAATACTTGCGCAACTCTGCCAAGGTGACCGTATATCTCTCTCGTCTACTAAAGAAAAACGAGAGGTGGTCATGGAGTGCTGAGTGTCAGCACTCCTTTAAAGGTATCGAGAAACGCTTGATGCAATTGCCTGTGTTGGCGATTGCAGATCAGCATAGACCACTCCATGTGGTCTGTGACGCCAGCGATTTTGCAATCGGCTGCGCGTTAATGCAGTACGACTCAGACGGTGTCGAGCGCGTCGTCTGTTATCAATCGCGTCAGCTGCAAGCAGCTGAGCGTAATCACTCAGTGCATGAAAAGGAACTCCTTGCCATGAAATATGCACTCGCCAATTTTCGGGACATCTCTTAGGAGATAGGCCCATCATCGTTTATACCGACCATGCGTCATTACGAACGGCCGTACATAGTCGACACCTCTCGCAACGAATGGCGAGGTGGCTGTATTTATTCACGGAGTACAACTTCTCCGTCGAGTGTAAACCAGGACGACTTGATGTCGTCGCTGATGCTCTTTCGCGTCGGCCCGATTTTGAGCCGACTGCTCAACACAACAGTAGGAGTGATCCCACTGTCGCGACACTAACAGTGATTGTTCCGTCGTCGAATCTGCCCGACGACGTGCGAAAAGCATACACAGAAGATGAGTCTTTTCTGCGGTTGATGGATTACGTATCTAATCCATGTAATCAAGCTTTAATAAGATTGTCGTCTCACTACCGCTCTTTAACCGAACGGTAATCTGTTCGTGATGGACTGCTGTACTATGCAGCAGTCAACGGCGACACACCTCGTGTCGTCGTTCCGGCTCATAGTGATTTGCGATTGCGCATCATGTTTGAGTGTCACGATGCTCCAGCAAGTGGACATCGCGGTAGAGAAAAGACTTACCTCATGGTGAGTCGTGACTTCTACTGGCCCCGCCAGTATGAGTTTGTGCGCAAGTACGTTCGCGCTTGCGAAGTTTGTCAACGGGATGAAGTCTATCCTTCATCCCGTGCGCCCTTGCAGCCTCTACCGATCACGGCAGAGTGCTGGCAGTCCGCATCGATGGATTTCATATTTGGATTTCCCAACGACGCTCTCAAGAATACTGGTATTCTTGTGTTTGTCGATCGGTTCAGCAAGATTGTACATCTTGTTGCTGTACCGGAGTCGATCACAGCCTGGGGCTGTGCACGTGTCTTCATTGAAACGGTATTTAGATTTCATGGGTTGCCCCGTGAGCTCGTGTCTGATAGAGACCCCCGCATCACAGCGGATTTCTGGCAATCCGTGTTCCGCTCACTTGTAACACGGTTGAAGATGTTGACTTGTGACCATCCTGAAATAGGCGTTCAGACGGAACGCGTCAACCGCGTTCTCGAAGAGATAATTCGAGGGTACGTCCACTCGTTTGCGAGTTGGAGTGAATTCTTGCCGTTGGCGGAATTCGTCATAAACAACTCGGTGCATGCGTCAACTTCACATACACCGTTCTTCGTGAATGACCTACTCCATCCACGTTTTATCACCTTCTTAAAGCGAGATTCTAGTTTGAGGGGGGGGTAAACTCCCTCGAACGAAACCCGATCTAGTTCTTGCTCATCGCACGTCGACAATGGTGTCGACGTGATGGATGACGATGTCGATGCGGTCGATATCGATGATAATGATGACGACGATGCTGGTATATTTAGCATCGCCAATGGCTGCCAAAGTGAGGACGATGACACCCCCACTGGTGAAGACAGCGTTCGTTCAGCAGTGCACACGAAGCGCACTGCATTTAAAAAGGATGAATCAGCAGAGGAATTTCTGCTGACTCCCGAAGCGGTTGTCCGCCTCGTTCAAGACTCTACCGCGGATGCACTAGATAGACAGAAAAAAACGCAGACAAACGTGGACGAGCAAATGTTCTTTCATTTAATGAAGGAGACCTAGTTTTACTTTCTACAGTAAACCTACCGAAACACACAGTGAAAAACGTGGGCAGCAGTAAACTACAGTCAGGTACATCGGTCCATTTCGTGTGTTGCGCCGAATGGGCAACGCATACACGATTGAACTGACCCGCGTACGCATCCTCCGTTTTACGTCGGTCGTCTCCGCCCGTACTATCAGCATGAGCCTGTTTCGAGATGCGAAGAACACCTCCGCGGTCGAGAGCCGAGACCACCTTCGAGTAGTCCGGTTTCAACGAGCCAGTCTGTTTGACTAGCGAAGCGACCTGCTCAAGCAGTTAAGCTATGTCTCGGCGAGCTACAGCCAGCTCATCACGAAGAGAACGAGTCGAATGTTCGTTCTCAAGTTGAAAAACGCAAATGCGGCACGATCGTCCGAAAGATTGTGCGCTACGGAATTGTTATTATCCTTTACAAGAACATGGAGCTCATAACTTCGAGTACGGTCATGAGCCAGGTCATCTTGCAACTGTTCCGTTACACGGTTCAGCTCTTAAACATCAAGATGATCCGACCCTCGAGCAGGAGTAGGTGTTCCCACCGCCACCACATCCTTTGGTGGACTCAAGCGGTGGTCAACGCTTCCTAGTGGAGCGTATTTTGAGCCACCACGATGTGAATGGCGTCCGGACGAGTTACGTCGTCCGCTGGCGTGGCTATCCACCGGTGAGGGACAGCTGGGAGCCTCGTTACCAGCTGATTGTTGATGTCCTTGGTATCGTCGAGCAGTACGACGAGACCCACCCGCTGCGTTTGAAGAAGGGCCGTCGGAAAATGACCTCCCCGAACGCGATTACAGGGATTAAAGGTTTCAATCCCTTAGGCCATCTCAGAAGAGATGCGCTCCCTCCAGTAGGGAACATTAGGATGGGAGGTATCTCTAGGGTCACGGTTCGACTTGTCCAGGCAACCTGGGCACGAATCACCCCACGATAGACAGGGTGATCCTGCCTCTCTTGACAGCCAATGCAACTTGTATCGCGTCCCGACTGATTTGCGTTTCTTAAGCCTGATGCGAGCTGCATCAAGTTTGGCGAGCCAGGCCTCACGGCTAATGTAATCGATGTTTTAAATGAGGGCATTACATCCTTGCACCAAGGCTTTGCCGTCTCGCACACGTCTACCTTTGTACCACCATTTTTTGAAAAACGAATCGGTGAAGAACTCTTCCTCAGCACGGATATTCATCGTGCTGGAATCAGGTGGGAAAATCTTCCTGCAATCGAACAACGGGATTCGATCGTGTTCGGTAGTCGTGCCGGCCAACCGGTCTAACTCTCTGGATGGCGGCGTCCACGGAGACTTCACTTGGGGAGCGTGGCGCAGGACGTTTCGGTCCCTGGCCACTTAATTTGTGCTAGCATGAGCACTAACACCAGTGATCCCCCGATCCCTCGAACTACTTCGCTCGTGGTGTTGTATAGGTGCATCACCACCATCTCCACGCGTCCTATCGTTGGATGGACTTGCGTAAGGCGGAGACTCATCGGTATAATCACTCGATCCGAAGATCTCGGTCATGATACTGCCGCGCTGACCTGAGCCAGTCAACCTGGCTTTTGCAGCGTCCGTCCCGGGTGACTCGGAGGCGTGAGTAGTCGCCTTCGAGTCGGATACATCATCCGACTCGCCAGAACAGATGAACTCTATTTCAGACTCGTCCGGATTACGACTGGTAGTACCCGCTGCAGACGCAACGGATGTACCTGTCGCACGTGGTGACTCACCACGTGGAGAATTTACGACAACATGCGACGGATCGCCTGCTGCTGATGCGTGAGAGGCACTTTCCGCGACCGCACACATGCGTGCAGCCGCTCTTCCTGCTGCTGCATTATCAGCTCGCTAGGATTTCGAAAACATGCGTTTAATTGGCAAATGAAACGATTTTGACCAACAAGTGCCCCCTTTCCCAGAGTAGTTCAACGGTGGTCACCCTGTCCCAATCAATTCTATTCGATCGACGGGTGCCTGATGAATAATGGGGGTGGGGTGATGTAACGGGGTAGCCCGTTACATGAAATTGACACCAAACGGTGTCAATTTGAATATTGTCTAGCATGACTATATTCTACCGATATTACCCGAGATCGATAATATTGAAGGAATATTATCCCCTTTTGAATAATATTCATGCGCTGCTCCTAGATTAGTTGGTATAAGACATATCAACGATAGATTGATATAATGCATATCAACCATAGATTGCCACCAATCGCTGCTATACGCGCGTAATGAGTGGTGAGCAGGTTGTCGTCACATGACAGTGTGGGACAGTACAGTTAGATAAAGATTAAAGTTATATGTATAGCTTAACTACACTAAAACAGTTCTCTTTTTAATTTTTTCTTAAACGAGTCGTTCAAGTAGACAGCTTCCTCTGCACAAACTAGTGTACGTGAAGTTTCGTGGCACCCAAACAAAGGGTGCCCGTTATAATCGCGATAAGTCTGTGCTTATTAGCTTCCAGCATCTGCTTTTGTGATAATTACAATTGTTTTTTACAAATTTAACAAAACACGTGCGGGCGTCACAATAGTGACCTAGCCACAGAGTGACTATGATTAAGCCTATATGCTTATGACGAGGAACAGGCTAGATTGCACTTAATACGTGTAAGGTACACCTACCCAGAGTATTTACAGATCGAATTGTGGACACACACATAAGTAGGATAAAAAAATGGCATTTAACGTTGCTAACCGTCACTAATAGCTTCACTGTTCGGGCTCGCAACTACTCATTGCTACCCGCTATTTGATTGATGCTGTTCGTGGGCTGATTTCCGGCTAGTGTTAAGCGATCGAGAGAGAAGCGATGCCGTACACGGTGAATCACCGATGTTGCAAGTTTTCACTGATCCTATAAGAGGGGTCAAGATTATGCAATATGTTTACCTCTGAATCCCTTCTGGTAAGGTAGCAAAGCGAAATGCGATCATGCAATTTGGGCACGCCAAGAACGAAAACAGAAAGAATTTAGCCACAATATACATATTAAAGGTTCCGTATTCCTATTGCATGACCCTTTCGATTGCTTCTTCCGATTTCCAAAGAAACCCACGCCTCAATAGCGAAATCTGCAAGTGCAGGTAGCATACGTATTTTTATCGGTACATGCCACCAGTAGCTAGCAAGCGAACTTCTTTCAACATCTACCCTAGCTACCTTCCAGACTAACAAGTTCCTTACAACCAGCGCCAACTTACCGATGACCTTCGTCACTGTAACTCGAATTTTCACAAGTGTGCACATTGAAGGAGGACCACCGAATAGGTATGATTTCCATGTTCATCCAGACGTCTCTCTTACCGGCGTCCCTTTTGTCTCTAGTAATTGTGATTGCTGACTATACCTGTCCTCACTCACGGCTCACATATCGTGCTATCCGGCCGTGCCTTTGTACGGGAAATACGAGTATTCTTTGAACGATCATTAGAATAACCATTAGCCCCCGAGAGTGCACTAGCGGCCGCAGTCATCGGCGTAGTCGTATATGATGTACATCCTCCGTCCAGGAGCCGCAATGATATAAATTCGATAGACAACTTCCAGTTGGCCGGCTTGCAGCCGTTCACTGAGTCTTAACCGGTTGCAACTCTTTCAGTGATCGTACCAATCAGTGTACTTAGTGCAATTTCGAATGTGAGAAATCTTGCATACAGTGCTTATGTTGCTATGAGATGCCCGTACGCTGCAAGCCCGTTTGCGGTTTAGTAGTTTTTTTCACTCCCCATTTTTATTATTTTCACCCCTTTGAAATCAAAACACGGTGTGTTTTTCAAGTTATGTAGAATTGTTCTAAAGAAGCTTGATCAATTTGTTTAACGCACCGCCATTCACACCATGACCATGCAGCCTTCAAAGGATCTGCACAAAAACTGATGGTAACTGGTGAGTTCTTCGAAGTCAAGTACCCGATAGCAAAGAAGATGTTTATGGCTCTTTAATTGAAAGCGCGCGCACTTTCTTTTGATCTTACGTTCCGACTACAAAAGGGTAAATGATCGTTGTGTGCGATCGAGAGATCATACAAATCTGTTTTGTCGACCGAAAACTAAGACACACTGCACATGATGCGAGTACCGACTTATACCGCAACAGATCATCGTCTTTAGGATAATAAAGGTGACTAACATGAAGGAGCGCACAACTATAGCATGTACAAAGACTTTGAAATGCAATCTTATGATAGATATCTAACATTCGAGGATGAAAAAACAGGTGTACGGCCAAAATAACAGATAGCTACCCTCCAACAGAAGTGTCCGAATTCTACAGCTTATTCCAATTACAGCATAAAGGGATGAAAGAGTGCGCAATCGGGGTATGCGGATTCTAGCGCTGTTCGGCAACCTGCAAGTGTTGATGTACCGCTATGATCTTAGGCTTGACGTAAAGGGTCAAAAATGCAGTTTAATGCTTGCAAATGCTCAATCCATCGAACAAAAACGTGCACATCATCGTCTTTCTCTTTTCAAGTCATTTGATCCCATATTGGTCAGATCCAACCTCGAGCATCAATGTACACTAGCAACCATGCAGTGCGTGGCCTTGTACACTTCGCTGTGTGATAATTTGTTTTAAAAAACACCCTGTTTTGGCTTGAGGAGGGGGGATGGAAATAGAAAAAAAAGAAGTAAAAATCAATACCCTCTAATCCCTACAGCAGTGTAGTAAGTGTGAAGGTACTACTACAGACAACCACTGTGTATTTCAACCAATTGGACGGTAGCTACTTCCAGTCGTCTCTGTCATTCAGCAATGGTCCTAAGCGTATCCAAGACGGTCGACGAGGTTGGCATTGACGCATGTCAGCTCATAATGGACCTGAGCAAGCGCGCCATTGCAACGAATGACCGCTTTACTGTGGCGTTCTCTGGCGGCTCCCTGCCTAAGGTGAAGTGGAGGCCTCGATCTGAACGGTTGCACTGTTGGTGTATCTGGTATCCCGGCTGACTGGCCCTCTTTATTATAGATTCTGAGCAAGGGCTTACCTGCCATTAAGGACCAGATCGACTTTTCCAAGTGGTTTGTCTTTTTTGCGGACGAGCGGTGCGTTCCACTGGACCACGATGACAGCAACTACAAGGCGTGCAAAGCGGCGCTCTTGGACGATGTAAATGAGGAGCTACTTGGCCTCAATAGGCTCGTTTGTTTGGCTGTTAGATGAGCAGTACTAAGCGCCCTTCGTTTGCTTTGACACGCAGGCTGGTGTTCCAGAGAGTCAAGTCTTTGCCATTGATGCCTCGCTGACCCCAACAGCCATGGCCGAGGACTACACCAAGAAGCTGGCTACAGTCTGGGGCAGCCACGTGAGTCTTTCTTCTCGTTCTCCAGTTGTCGTCCAAGAACCTTAATGGTGCTATTGTCTGTAGGTGCCTCGCTTTGATCTGATCTTGCTGGGCATGGGTCCAGATGGCCACATGTGCTCGCTCTTCCCTGGCCATCCGCTCCTGAAGGAGAAGACGTTGTTCGTAGCGTCCATTGAAGACTCACCGAAGCCGCCGTCGCAGCGCATCACGCTCACCTACCCGGTCCTAAACAATGCCGCCAATGTACGTGCCCCGTGTACATTTACCAAATTGCTTGGACAACCTATTGGTGACACTCCCTGTCTGTGTAGATCGTGTTCGTCGCTACTGGAGCTAGCAAGGCCGAGCTAATGCCGCACATGATCGGCATTGAGAAACGGACGTCACCGCTTCCTGCAGCCAACATCAAGCCCACAGATGGCGTTGTCTACTGGTTCATCGACAACGATGCGGCTGCGAAACTCTCGAGCGATGCAAAAATGTAAAGTATAATGACACTTGTCAGTCGCCAAGTTGGAGTGGTCAGATGAGCACACTTGGCTTAGCATGTCAATTGACACCATCCATACTCCTATAGCTCTCTTTTAATACCCCTACCCATACCCGCCTTATTCGGTTGCACTGCATCCTGTATCTCTTCGTGATAGAAAGTTCCGATACAAAAAAATACGAAGTGTTAACGACGGAATGCGCTGATCGTAGCTGCACCAGTCGCGGATCTTGACCTTACCGCACGGGTCGCGCAGTCAGTACAAACTGCAGAACTTCTCCCTCGAGCAGCTGACTTTCGTGCACTTGACGTGAGCGAGGTGAACATCAAAGCCGAGACGAAGTGGCCGCTGATTAAATGAAGCGCGCAGACGACGTGGTCGCGGCACTGGTGTCTTCTACCACGACGTTTGAGAGCACGGTGTAAAATTCATTCAATTGGACCGTGAGATGATGAGCCGCGTGACCAAGATGGCGTTACTGGGGCAAATTGGTGTATGAGAAGAAAACACGCGATGTCTGTACCAAGGCAGATGAAGCCATTGACAACTTCTTGTTGAAGTATGCAACGGGCTATTATTGCCCTGGGGAACACCCCTTTCACATCAAGTGAACTTTAAGCTCCTTTCAGTAAACATCAAATTTAACTATATTCAATACAGTTCTCTTTTCACCTTTACTCAAACTAGCATATACAGTCTTCCCTCTGCTAAGTTATAGACTTGGTTGAAGGCAAATCCTATAACATAGCAGAGGTTATTTCATAGCAGAGGTATGCTGCGGAAAAATTATTAATTTAATTAATTAAAGAATCAAAAACGCAACAAACCTCCAGGCTTCCAAAACCTGTCTGTCACGTGTCACGTGCCCTATGAAGATTTTGTGATTTTGGTTGCCCCACCAGTCTCTGGTGATTTTGCTATCTCTAATTAAGAAGTTCCACCAACTGTACCTTGCTCACTCACAACAGATGTCGCAGATACGTCTTACCAACGAGCAGAAGCTGCGCATCTGCAAGCACCAGGATGCTAACCCGCGCATCACCCAGACTGCCCTGGCGGCTTGGACAAAGGACGCCTTTGACCTCCAGAAGGCACTTTCCCAGGCAGCGATCAGCAAAATCATCAAAAAAAGGAAGGAGCTTGAGGCAATGGACACCACTGACCTCAGCGCTAAGCTTCCTCGGACTGTCCAGCACCCAGCTGTGGAGGAGGCCGTCGCCTTCTGGGTCTTGCAGTGCCAGCACCGTGGGGTCGCTCTTACTGGAGATCTCATACGGGCCAAGGCTCAGACCTTTGCGGGATCAATGGGCGTCTCGAAGGAAAACATCAGCTTTTCGCATGGGTGGCTCCACAAATTCCAGCAACGCCACAAACTGCGAGCTGTCCGCATTCATGGCGAGAGTGGCTCAGCAGATATGGGCGCTCTAGAGGAGGCTCTTCCACACCTCAAGGCCGTGGTTGCTGGTTATGCGCCACGTGACGTGTACAACATGGACGAAACTGGTAGGTCTGAGAATACCGTACAGTACTGTACTCATTGTACAGTACAGAAGCACCTCAAAGGCTCACTTTCTGTTCAGGTTTGTTCTACAGTATGACGCCCGACAAAACGATCGCCCAGCAAGAGGTCGAAGGGTTTGAAAAAGACAAGGTACGTTGTTGCTCTCCTCTTGGTTTCCTGCGTTTCTCTGACACTAACAACTATTCTAGACGCGCATCACAGTTGCTCTCACGGCAAACGCTGATGGATCCGACAAACTCCCGCCGTTCTTCATTGGACACGCCAAAAAGCCGCGGTGTTTTGAGCACAAGACAGCTGAGCGACTGGGCTTTCTCTACCGCAACAACAAGAAAGCCTGGATGACTGGCATACTCTTCTAGGAATGGCTGGGAGACGTCGACAAAAGTATGAAGGTAATTTGGGGCATGCCTTGAACATCATCGTTGTGGTACAGTAAAGGAGGTTTGACTAACGCGTTGACCACAGCAAAAGGATAGAAAAATCCTGCTTCTCATGGACAACGCTCCTTCACACATTGTTGCTGACCTGGAACTCACCAACATCACGGTCCAGGTTCTTCCTCCTAATACGACTTCAAAGGTCCAACCCATAGATGCTGGGATTATTGCCGCATTCAAGAGGCACTACCGCCGGCTGCATCTGCAGAATGCCTTGGACCGTGACGAGCGCGGAGAAACCAACCTTTACAAGGTTGATCAGCTCACGGCCATGCGTTGGTCGCTGGCTTCGTGGAGCGAGATTTCCAGTGCCACAATCGCCAACTGCTTCCGTCATACGGGACTCATGGACGGTCCAGCTCTGCCGACTGGTGGGGGTGAAAACGAAGCCGGCACTGTTGGCCAGCAGGCCCAGCAGGAGGCAGCAGCTGCTGCAGTAGAGGAGCAGCGCGTGGAACAGGATCTTGTTTCGGCGCTGGAAAGGCTCCCGCTCCGCAATCCCATGTCGATCGCTTCTCTTCTCAATCCGTCTGAGGAGGAGGAGACGGCGCATGCGGAGCTGACCGATGCCGAAATCATCAAGCTTGTTAAGGATCCGTATGGGGAGGAGGAAGGTGCTGCTGACGCGGAGGAGGAAGTGGAAAAGCATCCGAAGGCTGAAAAGCTTGCCAGCCTTAGTCTATCCATCGCCCTTCTCGACCTTTCTCAGAAGTCCCATCGTGTAGCTCACCGGACCCTTCGCCAAGTCCAAGCTGATCTCCGTAGTGCGAGCACCACTCAGGCCACACTTGATTCCTGGCTGAAGTAGTTCCCTCTCCTCTTTCCACTCCTTTCTTGCAGTGAATAACAAAAAAAAGGTTCTGCGTACAATATTTCTGCTCACGGCGGACAAAAATATCCCCTCTGATAAGTTGTATTTGACCCTCAGGCTATTCCGTATAACTTATTCCGTAGTCACCATAGAACGAGGTCGGTGGAGACCGAATCCTATAACTTAACGAAGGCTATTCCGTAGCCGGGGATAACTTAGCAGAGGGAAGACTGTATGTAACGGGGCACCCTTTGTTTGAATGCCACGAAACTTCACGTACATTAGTACGTGCAGAGGAAGCTAATCTACTTGAACGACTCGGTCAAGTAAAGGGTAAAAGAGAACTATATTTAATACAGTTAAGCTTTCAATACAACTTTAGTCTTTATCTAACGATATTAAGCAGAACTATATTTAATATAGTTAAGCTTTCAATACAACTTTAGTCTTTATCTAACGATATTAAATACGCCGTCGTACGACGACAACCTGCTCACCACTCATTGCGCGCGTCTAGCAGCGATTGGTGGCAATCTATGGTTGATATGTCTTATATCAACCAATCTAGGAGCAGCAAATGAATATTATCAAAGGAGAATAAAATTCCTTCAATTTTATCCATATCGGATAATGTTGGTAGAATTTTGACATGCTAAACAATATTTCCATTGACAACGTGTGGTGTCGATTTCATAAAACGGGCTACCCCGTTACATCACCCCACCCCCATTATTCATCAGGCACCCGTCGATCGAATAGAATTGATTGGGACAGGGTGACCACCGTTGAACTACTCTGGGAAAGGGGGCACTTGTTGGTCAAAATCGTTTCATTTGCCAATCCAACGCGTAGTTTCCAAAACCTCGCAAGCTGCTACTGCAGCAGCAGGAAGAGCGGCTGCACGCATGCATGCGGCTGCAGAATGTGCCTCTCACGCCTCAGCAGCAGGCGATTCGTTGCCTGTTGTCATAAATCCTCCACGTGGTGAGTCACCACGTGCGACAGGTACATCCTTTGCGTCTGCAGCGGGTACCTCGAGTCGTAATCAAGACGAGTCTGAGATAAAGCTCATCTGTTCTGGCGAGTCGGATGATGCATCCGACTCGAAGGCGACACCACACGCCTCCGAGTCACCCGGGGCGGACACTGCAAGAGCCCGGCTGACTGGCTCTGGTCAACGCAGCAGTATCATGACCGAGATCTTCGGATAGAGTGATTATTCCGACGAATTTTCGCCTCACGCAAGTACATCCAACGATAGGACGCGTGGGGATGGTGGTGATGCACCTATACAACACCACGAGCGAAGTAGTTCGAGGTATCGGGGGATCACTGGTGTTAGTGCTCATGCTAGCACCAATTAAGTGGCCAGGGACCGAAACGTCCTGCGCCACGCTCTCCAAGTGAAGTATCCTTGGATGCCGCCATCCAGAGAGTTGGACCGGTTGGCCGGCACGACTACCGAACACGATCAAATCCCGTTGTTCGATTGCAGGAAGATTTTCCCACCTGATTCCAGCACGGTTGCTATCCGTGCTGGGGAGGAATTCTTTACCGATGCGTTCTACAAACATCGGTGAAACATTGAAAACCGTGGTCGAGACGGCAAAGCCTTGGTGCAAGGATGGAATGTTTTCATCAACTAGACCGAGCGCATTGGCCATAAGCCTAAAACGATAACATTGTTGCAGCTTGTATCAGGAGTGAGAAACGCAACCCAGTCGAGGCGCGATACAAGTTGCACCGGCTTTCAAGAGAGGCAGGATCACCCTGTCCATCGTGGCGCAACCCGTGTCCAAGTTGCCTGGACAGCTCGAATTGTGCCACTATGGAGGTCAACCTCCCTTATGTTCCCTACTGGAGGGCGCGCATCTCTTCTGAGATGGCCTAAGGGATTGAAACCTTGCGATCCCTGTACTCGCGTTCGGGGAGGTCATTTTCCGACGGCCCTTCTTCAAAAGCAGCGGGTGGGTCTCGTCGTATTGCTCGACGAGACCAAGGACATCAACAATCGGCTGGGCACGAGGCTCCCAGCTGTCCCTCACCGGTGGATAGCCACGCCAGCGGACGACGTAACTCGTCCGGACGCCATTCACATCGTGGTGGTTCAAAATACGCTTCACTAGGAAGCGTTGACCACCGCTTGAGTCCACCAAAGGATGTGGTGGCGGTGGGAACACCTACTCCTGCTCGAGGGTCGGATCATCTTGATGTTCAAGAGCTGAACCGTGTAGCGGAACAGTTGCAGGATGACCTGGCTCATGACCGTACTCGGAGTTATGAACTCCATGTTCTTGTAAAGGATAATAGCAATTCCGTAGCGCACAATCTTTCGGACGATCGTGCCGCATTTGCGTTTTTCAACTTGAGAACGAACGTTCGACTCGTTCTCTTCGTGATGAGCTGGCTGTAGCTCGTCGAGACATAGCTTAACTGCTTGAGCAGGTCGCTTCGCTAGTCGAACAGACTGGCTCGTTGAAACCGGACTACTCGAAGGTGGTCTCGGCTCTCGACCGCGGAGGTGTTCTTCGCATATCAAAACAGGCTCATGCTGATAGTACGGGCGGAGACGACCGACGTAAAACGGAGGATGCGTACGCATCTTACGGGGCAGTTCAATCGTGTATGCGTTGCCCATTCGGCGCAACACACGAAATGGACCGATGTACCTGGCTGTAGTTTACTGCTGCCCACGTTTTTCACTGTGTGTTTCGGTAGGTTTACTGTAGAAAGTAAAACTAGGTCTCCTTCATTAAATGAAAGAACATTTGCTCGTCCACGTTTGTCTGCGTTTTTTTTCTGTCTATCTAGTGCATCTGCGGTAGAGTCTTGAACGAAGCGGACAACCGCTTCGGGAGTCAGCAGAAATTCCTCTGCTGATTCATCCTTTTTAACTGCAGTGCGCTTCGTGTGCACTGCTGAACGAACGTTGTCTTAACCAGTGAGGGTGTCATCGTCCTCACTTTGGCAGCCATTGGCGATGCTAAATATACCATCATCGTCGTCATCATTATCATCGATATCGACCGCATCGACATCGGCATCCATCACGTCGACACCGTTGTCGACGTGCGATGAGCAAGAACTAGATCGGGTTTCGTTCGAGGGAGTTTACCCCCCCCTCAAACTAGAATCTCGCTTTAAGAAAGTGATAAAACGTGCATGGAGTAGGTCATTCACGAAGGACGGTGTATGCGAAGTTGACGCATGAACCGAGTTGTTTATGACGAATTCCGCCACCGGCAAGAATTCACTCCAACTCGCAAACGAGTGGACGTACCCTCGAAGTATCTCTTCGAGAACGCGGTTGACGCGTTCCGTCTGAACGCCTATTTCAGGATGGTCACAAGTCAACATCTTCAACCGTGTTACAAGTGAACGGAACACGGATTGCCAGAAATCCGCTGTGATGCGGGGGTCTCTATCAGACACGAATTCACGGGGCAACCCATGAAATCTAAATACCGTTTCAATGAAGACACGTGCACAGCCCCAGGCTGTGATCGACTCCGGTACAGCAACAAGATGTACAATCTTGCTGAACCGATCGACAAACACAAGAATACCAGTATTCTTGAGAGCGTCGTTGGGAAATCCAAATATGGAGTCCATCGATGCGGACTGCCAGCACTCTGCCGTGATCGGTAGAGGCTGCAAGGGCGCACGGGATGAAGGAATAGACTTCATCCCGTTGACAAACTTCGCAAGCGCGAACGTACTTGCGCACAAACTCATACTGGCGGGGCCAGTAGAAGTCACGACTCACCATGAGGTAAGTCTTTTCTCTACCGCGATGCCCACCTGTTGGGGCATCATGACACTCATACATGATGCGCAATCGCAAATCACTATGAGCCGGAACGACGACACGAGGTGTGTCGCCGTTGACTGCTGTACAGTACAGCAGTCCATCACGAACAGATTACCGTTCGGTTAAAGAGCGGTATTGAGACGACAATCTTATTAAAGCTTGATTACATGGATTAGATACGTAATCCATCAACCGCAGAAAAGACTCATCTTCTGTGTATGCTTTTCGCACGTCGTCGGGCAGATTCGACGACGGAACAATCACTGTTAGTGTCGCGACATTGGGATCACCCCTACTGTTGTGTCGAGAAGTCGGCTCGAAATCGGGCCGACGCGAAAGAGCATCAGCGACAACATTAAGTCGTCCTGGTTTATACTCGACGGAGAAGTTGTACTCCGCGAAGAAATACAGCCACCTCGCCATTCGTTGCGAGAGGTATCGACTATGTACGGCCGTTCGTAATGACGCATGGTCGGTATAAACGATGATGGGCCTATCTCCTAAGAGATGTCCCGAAACTTAGCGAGTGCATATTTCATGGCAAGGAGTTCTTTGTCATGCACCGGATAATTTCGCTTAGCTGCTTGCAGCTGACGCGATTGATAACAGACGACGCGCTCAACGCCGTCTGAGTCGTACTGCATTAATGCGCAGCCGATTGCAAAATCGCTGGCGTCACAGACCACATAAAATGGTCTATCCTGGTCTGCAATCGCCAACACAGGCGATTGCACCAAGATTTTCTTGATGCCTTCAAAAGAGTGCTGACACTCAGTGCTCCATGACCACATCTTGTTTTTCTTTAGTAGACGAGAGAGATGTACAGTCATCTCGACAGAGTTGCGCAAGTATTTGTGCAAATACGCCGCCAAGACAAGGTTTTTCGAATTCCCTTGACGTTGACTGGCACAGGCCATTCGCTAATCGCCTTGATCTTTTTCTAATCAGGACGTACACCGTTTTTACCCACGATGCAGCCAAGAAGTGGTATTTTGTTCGCTACGAATATACACTTCTTGAGGTTCGCGAACAACTTATGCTCTCGCATTATAGTAAGAACCTTCCGGACGTGAATTCTGTGAACCTCCACGTCCGTCTTTCCATCCATAGCCCGGCGATGGACGAAGACATCGTCGAGAAAGTTGGTGCGAAGTCGCGCACCGATCGCAACAGATCCGTAACACATCTGTTGAACGTTGCGGGGGCTTTACTTAGCCCCTGTGGAATCACTAGCCACTACCAGAGCATACCACTGGGGGTATTCACTGCTGTGTAAGGGATTTCCCGTTCACGCATGAGGATCTGATAGAAGCCATCCATCGTATCCATGGACGAAAAGATGGTACTCTTTGCCATACCATCTATGATGACGTCCTTTCTTGGGATCGGCGTTAGGGCCGGTACCGTTGCAGCGTTCAATTTGCTGAATGCGTGAACTTTCCGCCACCCTCCTGTGGCCTTTCGCACACAGGAGGTCGGAGAGCTGTATGGGATGTTGATTCCCTCACATGACCAGCCGCTAAACGATCGGCAAAGAATTAGTCGATCGCTGTGACCTGTTCACGAGGCAGTGGACACTGCTTCATGACACAATATTTCGAACCAGGTTTTAGTGCGATCTCATGCCGAGTGCCTTTGTCCTTAGGCAGCTCGCATGGCACGGATTCCGGGAAAACATCCCTGGATTTCAACCAAATCCTTAAACAAAGGATTTGTCTTTAGAGACTCCCAAGATTGAGAAGAGTATCGCTCAATCCGAGTCTTATCGTCGACGACACTCTCGTCCATCGATGAGCTACTGAGAACCCCGTTCGTTCTCAGCAAACACTTGTGCCGACCGAATATCGGCGACGTACTCGTCCTCTGTGACGAGTACGCAGATCTGCTTGATCTTGTCACTACGCAGATCTCGCAAGAATCTTTCAGATTCTAGCGTTGGCAACTTGACTACCTCCGAAGCTGACTTCTGGGGCGTCACCAGATCAAGTGTACAAGCGCCTACACTAAATCCGTCATTCACCAAGACATTCAATGACTCGGTAATTTCCTGGGAAAACACATCCGCAGGTGGTTGGGGATCCACACCCTCAACATAACTCTCTCGGGAGTTATCGCTCTCAGGAACGCTGGAACTTTATTCCATTACGTGTACTATCACGGTCACGTCCTCTTTGATCGACTCTCTTTCAGTCGATTGGGCTTGCTCTACGATCGACTCTCTGATATTCGATCTTGCTTCAACGTGTTGTTCATCTTGAACAAAATTAATCTCTCTTCTCGGATGCACCGTTAGTGTTGTGCATCCGTGTTCCAGTCCACTCGATCTCTTCGAGTGATGAACCTTCGGCGCAGCCTGTGTCTCTACACAGGTGCCGGAAGCTGGTTCCACAGTGTGGTGGCCTTCTACACTGTGATCTTGTGCAATCGTACTAACGACCATACCACAAGTGAGGCCATCGCACTCACTCGTAGTACATCCACACGCTTGTGGACGCTCCAAGATGTTCATCAGATGGCCGCTCGATGAACCAACGTCAGGCATCTTCACGGATCGATGCTGCCAGCTAACCCATGGCCGGTACTTTCTAAGCCATGGCAGACCGAGGATGACATCAAATTTGTCATCCAAATCTAATACGATAAATTCATCATCGTACTGCTTTCCTTCTAGCATGTAGTGAATTCCCACTACAAGTTTGTTCACTGTTACGGAAGCTCCTGTAGCAAGGCACACCTTCATCCTCGTTTGAGGGAACTCTCGCTCAACATAGTTGAGCCTACTATCCCTTAGTGACTGGCGTCAAATGAAACTGCTCGACACCCCACAGTCAACTAGGGTGCGAAGTGACATTCCACTTGTCACTTCGATCTTCAGAGCGATGAGAGACTCCTCATCACTAGGGGCTGTAACACACAGCGACTGTTTGTTGGGAGCAATCTTCGTCAAGAGTCCTGCAAATTCTCTTGACGTTGCTGGATCAGCAGGGTGTTCCGTCCCTACTGACCCTGACCGTTTTTTGACGGTCCGACTTGATATCGCGGCTTAGCGACAAGGTCGGACGCCTCGTACCCTTCCTTGGCCAACGGCGGTCATCACATCCTGTCTTTGGACGTGTTACAGTGCTTAGGACACTACACTCATGAGCGTAGTGTCCAATCTTCTGACAGCGATGGCATCTTGCCGTCGCCAACGGCGGTCATCACATCCTGTCTTTGGACGTGTTGCAGTGCTTTCACATCGAGAGAGAGAACTCTCGCTACCTGAGTCGCTTGCAACTCAGAGAGCGAGAGTTCACGCTCTCGATGTAACAGAGGTCCATTGGTTTAGGACCTCCTGTTTCCTGATGCCTCGTCGGACGATAGTTGGAAGAGTCAGCCTGAGACAGTCTCAGGCTGAAGTCTTCTTGTTCCGCTTACGCTATTGCCCTTTCCAGCGTATGGAAGTCCTCCCGGAACATGTAGGTCTTCACCGGCCGATCAACAAGGCCGTAGATGAACACGTCGATGAGCGTGTGCTCATCAACAGGGCTCTCTGTAATGCTACTCGCAAGGTTTCGCAGGTGCTGTTCGTAAGCGTGCACGTCACGCTTACCTTGCTTAAGCCTCAAGAGTGCAGAGCGTGCTCTGAACTCTGCTCTGCATGGCTCAAACGTTTCTTTGAGCCGAGACTTCAAAGTCTCCAACGACTCCAACACGTTTGGGTCGTGAAGCTTGAGCCCTAAGGCCCAAGTATTTGCCCGTCGAATTTGACAGGGCGAAGGTGACTTGCATCTCGTCACCCTCGATGTGACGGGCCCTGATGGCGTCGTCTAACTCGACTAACCATC